GGCATATTTCAAGCATTCATTTGTCCTCCATTTCTGGGAACCTGAACCATCTTTCACTGGCGATGGGTTAAGGGTCTTAGGGGGTATCTCCTATCAAAGTTTCAAAGGGCCCCAGGGGCCGGGAAAGGCCGGTTAGCTAGCCGGAACTTTGATGTTTTTTCATCATTGTATATTGGGAAACGGGAAAAGGCCAGCTATTATACGCCTTATCTTTGAAGTGTTCATCAAATGATTACTGGGGCAAGGTAGTGGGGTCCAAGGGCTATTATTTCCCACCTTCAAATTGGGGCTGTAGTGGCACCACCAAGTGGTGCCAAGTGCGTGGGGCATATTTCAAGCATTCATTTGTCCTCCATTTCTGGGAACCTGAACCATCTTTCACTGGGGATGGGTTAAGGGTCTTAGGGGGTATCTCCTATCAAAGTTTTAAAGGGCCCCAGGGGCCGGGAAAGGCCGGTTAGCTAGCCGGAACTTTGATGGGTGGTGCCAAGTGCGTGATGCATATTTCAAGCATTCATTTGTCCTCCATTTCTGGGAACCCTAACCATCTTTCACTGGGGATTGGTTAAGGGTCTTAGGGGGTATCTCCTATCAAAGTAGGGGGTATCTCCTATCAAAGTTTCAAAGGGCCCCAGAGGCCGGGAAAGGCCGGTTAGCTAGCCCGAACGTTGATGTTTTTTCATCATTGTATATTGGGAAACGGGAAAAGGCCAGCTATTACACGCCTTATCCTTGAAGTTTTCATCGAATGATTATTGGGGCAAGGTAGAGGGGCCCTAAGGCTATTATTTCCCACTTTCAGAATGGGGCTGTAGTGCCATGACTTGGAGGTGCCAAGTGCGTGGGGCATATTTCCAGCATTCATATTTTATTCATTGCCGGCCTCCTGAACAAACTATCACCGGGGATGGGTGAGGGGCCTTAGGGGTACCCCTTGACAGATTTCTGTAGGGTCCTAGGGGCTGGAAGGGTCCATTTAGCTAACCTGAACTTTGATGTTTTTCATCATTGTACATTGGGAAATGGGAAAAGGGCAGCTATTATACGCCTTATCCTTGAAGTGTTCATCGGATGATTATTGGGACAAGGTAGAGGGACCCTAAGGCTATCACTCCCCACTTTCAGAATTGGGCTGTAGTGGCACCACTTGGTGGTGCCAAGTGCGTGGGGAATATTTACAGCATTCATATTTCATCCATTGCCGGCCTCCTGTACAAACTATCACTAGTGAGGGGTAAGGGGCCTTAGAAGGTATCCCTTGACAGATTTCTGCAGGGTCGTAGGGGCTGGAAAGGGCCAGTAAGCTAACCTGAACTTTGTTGTTTTTCATCATTGTACATTGTGAAACAGGAAAAGGGCAACTATTATACGCCTTATCCTTGAAGTGTTCATCGAATGATTGGGTTAAGGTAGAGAGGCCCTAAAGCTATCACTTTCCACTTTCAGAATGGGGTTGTAGTGGCACCACTTGGAGGTGCCAAGTACGTGGGGTATATTATTTTACAGCATTCATTTGTCTTGCTTTATTGGACACCTAAACCAACTAACACCGAGGATAGGTTAAGGGTCTTAGGGGGTATCTCCTGTCAATGTTTCAAAATGACCCAGGGGCTGGGATGGACCGGTTAGCTAACCTGATCTTTGAGGTTTTTCATCATTGTATATTGTTAATCGGGAAAAGGTTCAGCTATTATAGGCTTATGCTTATCTAATGTCACCTATAACTTCAACATAAGCTGTCAAACTGAACGCGACATTTGTCGCAAATTTGTAAACAAAGTATAGACACGGCAGTTCTATTGTATCTTAACCAGTCCTTTCATTTATTAACTTGATCGTTCAAAGATTGAACAAATCGAAATAATTTGTTTTTACAGAAAATCTGCAATTTTATTATACAGCAATCGTGTTTCTCAAAACTATTAAGTACGGATTACTGTCTTGTTCAACAAGGAAGTTGGAACTCGTGACGTAGTGTCTAGAATGTAAGCATTTCAAGCAAAGAGTTGTGAGTTCGATACCGGTTGGGTGCATTTTAAATTTTTTTTTATTATGCCCCCGGAAACGAAGTTTCGGGGGGGGGGGGGGATATAGTTTTTGTCGTGTCCGTCTGTCTGTCTTTCTGTCTCTCTGTTTGTCCGCAAAAACTTTTATTCTTATTCATAACTTTTGATTTAGTAGAGCTATGAAATTCATATTTTACATGTGTATTTCTAGAGAGAAGACCTTCTTTTGGGTACCACCAAATTTGACCTTTTGACCTTGATCTTGAGGATTGACCTTGAAAATTGGCAAATTTTGAATATTTACTTTGGCCATTTCTTTTAAACAATATCTATCAGGACATTTATACTTCACGTATGTATTTTTTGTGGCCCGGCCTTTCATTGGATACCACAAACCTTGACTTTTTTACCTTGACCTTGGAGAGTTACGTACTTATGAAAAATCTTTAAGCTTGACTATAACTTTTGAAAAGAAAGTGTTAGGGCTTTCATACTTCACAAATGTAGTTCTTGTGAGAAGACGCTTCATTTTATACCAAGGACTTTGACCTTGACCTTGGAGTTTGACCTACTTTAAAAATACAACTTTGACTATAATTTCTGAGGGGTTAGTACTAGACTTTTATGCTTCACATATTTTATTCTTGTAGAAAGACCTCTCATTTCATACCAAAAACCTTGACATTTTGACTTTGACCTTGGAGTTAGACCCACTTTTACACAAAAATTGCATATTTTTACTTTTGGCCCTAAGTTTTAATTGGTAGATACTATGAATTTCATTCTTCAAATATAACTTTTTTTTGGCAAGACCTTTCATTAAAACCAAGAATTTTGACCTTGACCTTTGAGATTTCCGGACTTAGGAGAAAACGTCAACCTTGGAAATAACTTTCGAAGAGGAAGGGCTAGGGTTTTCAACCTTCACATATGTAATTCTTGTTACAAGATCTTTTAATCAGTACCAATAACCTTAACCTTCTGACCTTGATCTTGGAGTTTAACGTACATAAAAATCTTTTTTAACCTTATAACTTTTGAATGGTTAGGGCTAGGGCTTCCATCCTTCGAATATGTTATCTTTGTGGAGAGACCTTTCATTGGATACCAATAAACTTGACCTCATTACCTTGATCTTGAAGGTTTTTGTATTTATGAAAAAACTTAAGCCTGCTGTCATGTCTTGCAATTGTATTTCCAGTTAGAAGGCACTATTTTAGGTACCAATATATTAACTTTTTTATCTCAGAAAAGTTAAATCTTCACTGTTGCTATACGGGGCATCAGTATTTCATAATCACATTTTTTTGCACTTTAATGTTAGATATTTGCATATGTATACATTTAATGTTATATGATATTAATTATAAGTTCACATTAAGTTTAACGTTTGAAAAATCTCTTCACTTCTAAAAAATGCAAAATTTCGATTTTAAAAGTATTAGACCATTACAGAATCTTTATTACATATTGCCATTTTGCACCTCTTATTATCCCACCCGGAACGAAGTTTTGGGGGGTGTATAGTTTTTGTCGTGTCCGTCCGTTCGTCTAGCTGTTTGTTTGTTTGTCCGCAAAACTTAAATCTTGTCCTAAACTTTTGATTTAATAGAGCTATGACTTTCATATTTCACGTGTGTACTCTTTGTGACAAGAACTTTCTTTGTGTACCACCAAATCTATCTTTTTGACGTTGACCTTCAAGTTAAACACATTTTAACAAAAAAAATCTATTTTTTTTACTTTTAAAACAGTAGATACCAGGACATATGTATACTTCAAAAATCCATTTTTTGTTGAAAGACCTTTCATTGGATACCAATAACCTTGACCCTTTGGCCTTGGAGATTTCTCTTCTTGTAAAATAACTTTTACCTTGGGTAAAACTTTTGAAAAGTAAGTGCTAGGGTTTTCATACTTGACATATGTAATCCTTGTGACAAGCCCTTTCATTGGATATCAAGTCGTTTGACCCTTTGACATTGGAGTTCGACCTACTTTTTACAAACTTTTACCTTGGCCATAACTTTTAAACGGTAAGGACCAACGCATTTATATATGCTTCCCAAATGTAATCTTTGAGACATGGCCTTGTGCAGAAACCAATAACTATGACCTTTTGACCTTGACCTCGGGGTTTGTCTTACCTTTAAAAACGTACCCTCCCGCTTTTAAGTGTGTGGGTTGGTGGGGTGGAGGTGGGGTATGATTAAGGCACGATATACCTTAGTATGACCCAAAGGAAAACACTAGCTCCAATTATAGGAACCTCTTTGTAGTGACATTATTAAAACAAAGCTATGCTTTTGATAACTAATTAACGAGAGGCTCTGTGAGCAATGAGTTTGTTAAATGATACCCCCGTATCCCATAAAAATATAGTGGAAAAGTCAATGCTTTGCTATGAGAAACCCAAAATATGTGTAGGATCACAAAATTAAACAAGATGTTTTTGTGAGTGCAAATTTAATATATTTGTACCAAAAGAACGGTATTCTCGCTAAAAATACAATTGGAAAATATTAAAGTTGGCCAAGACTAAAGTTTTTCACAAGTAAGGAATACTTCAAGGTCAAGGTCATTGATATCCGATGAAAGGTCTTGCCACAAAAATACATATGTAAATTATTAAAGCCTTAGACCTTACCTTTTAGATGTTATAGCGGAGGTTAAAGATGTTAAAAAGTAGGTCAAACTCCAAAGTCAAAGGTCTTGCTTTCAAATGAAAGGTCCTGTCACAAGGATTAAGGGGGCTCTCTACACCTATAAAGTATAACTGATTTTTGTTGCATGCATTTGTTTCTAATAATAGGCCCCATATCCGATAAAATAAGGTTCCAAAGTATTTCAATTTATTATTCAGAATTATTTGAAATATTTTATTTATTTTGTTAAAATCCTTCCTATCAATTTTTTTGAATGCCCACTGCTTTAAATTTCTCTTCTAAGTTTAGTGTTATAAAATATTGAAATAATAACCAACAAAGTTAAAAATAAAATCAACATAATTTTTATTTAAATTTACAAAAATAGACAAAAGAAAAACTAAAACAGCATTTTCTTGAGAACAGCTGGTTGGATCCTCTTCAATATCTGAAAAGATATATAATATCAAAGGGTAAAAACAATGATAAAAAGAAATAAAAAAAAATTGAAAAACTGTCAAAAATTTATAAACATCACAAAATCAGGTGTGAGAGATCCGCTTTAAGAGTGGACTCAAATATCTTGGTACTGTTTTTTTTTTTTTTATAAATTCAAATAAACTCTACTCGCACAAGTATTAAACAAATGTCACGCAAGGACATTGAAAGAAGTTCTTATTGTACATGTATTGTTTTTCAATTAGTTTAAGCGAAAATCATCGCGTTTCCACTCCAGTCAATGACAAAGACATGTATTGAGTGAATTCATGGTATTGAGAAAGGTAGATTTACTTACCGTTTTTATCCAACTTGCATGTGTTATCCAGTGCTATATATAACAAAACAAGTTAAGATGGTAAATGACCAAAAGCGGTAAAAGAAATTCCTAAAACCAAATGCACAATTCGTCTAAAACCTGCACGTTTCCCATACTTGTAAACAGCTGACAATCAATGTTGATCAAACGTTTGGGTCATGCGAAATTTCACCGGGTATAACCATTCATTCGGGTGTATACAAATTGTGAACAGAGTAACCTCTAGTCGATAGGAAGATAATACATATGTCTTATCTGATCAAATTTGCATTCATTTTTAAAGAAAGGATAAGTATTGGGCAATACACAACATATTAATTGATGTGATATAAAAAACATTCCATCCACAATGTCGCATGTTGTGTTATACTCAGTGATATATCGGTGTTAAGTGAATTTGTATCTGATCATTTGGGATCAAAATGGCGTTTTTACGGAAGTACGCCATGTTGTGACGTTGTAGAGGGCCCCCTTAAATATGTAAAGTATGAAAGCACTTGACCTAACCCTTCAAAAGTGATGGTTAAGGTTTACTTTTTAAAAGTATGTCAAACTGCAAGGTCAAAGGGTCAAAGTTCATAGTATCCAATGAAGTGTATACTAGCCCCAAGTGTTCAAAAGTCTTGTGACCTTGACTGTGACCTATATGCTAAAAATATTTTTTTCTGTAAACTTTTACATTCGCCATAAATTTTGAACCATAAATTATAGAGACTTCATATTTGGTATGCATACACCACTGGTTAAGCTCTTTTAAATGCCACCATAGCCAATGACCTTGTGACCTTGACTGTGACCTACAGTGTATACGCTAAATACAGTTTTTTTTCTGCAATTTTAACCTTGGCCATAACTTTTGAACGAAGAAAGATAGAGACAATATTTGAATGAATACTTCACTAATGAAGCACATTTACATGCCACCAAGGCCAATGACCTTGTGACCTTGATTGTGTCATATATGCTAAAAATACCTCGTTTAGAACCATGAGAGATATAAACTGCATATTTAGTATGCATGCTGCACTATTCAAGTTCTTTGTGACCTTGACTGTGACCTATATATTATAAAAAAAAATTTTTAACTTAACCCCCGGGTGCATAGTGTTTCAAAAAATGCATCTTGTTCATAAGTATAAAAATCTCCATGGTCAAAGTCCAAAGGTCAAGGTAACTAGCATCCAATGTAAGGTCTTGTCACATAGAATTCATACTGAGTATGTAAAGGATGGAAGTTTTGACCTTTAACGTTCAAAAGTTATGGACAAGGCTAAAAAATTTAAAAGTAGGTCAAACTCCAAGGTCAAGGTTAAAAAGGTCAAATTTGGTGGTTCAAAAAGAAAAGTCTTGTTACACGGAGTACACACGTGAAATATGAAAGTCATAGCCTCATTAAACCAAAAGTTAAGGACAAGATTAAAGTTTTCACGGCCAAACAGACAGAGATGCAAACGGACGGACACGGCAAAAACTATATACCCCAAAAACTTAGTTTACGGGGGCATAATGAGGTGCAAACTGGCAATATATAATAAAGATTTTATGATGGACTCATATTTTTAACATCGAAACTTTGCACTTTTTAGAGGTAATAAGATTTTTCAAACGTGAAACTTATGATCTGAACTTGTAAATAATATTACCGGTATAAAAAATAAAATGTATGCATGTGCAAATTTTTTCCATTAAAGTAAAAAAAAATCTTATGCAAAAATAAAAGAAAATACTAGTAATCATTATGTAAACTTGTTAATAATATTTAATATAATATTTATGCTAATTTTGGCAAAAAAATTTAAACAAATGTTTCCCATCTGCAAAGAGCTAAAACCCTGCGTCCGCTAAAAAAATTACGCCAAAATTATTGGCATACCTATGCATTTTAAATAGTTTCCCAAAAACAAAATACTGGTAATCTTATTGTTCCTGTGGCCTTTCCAACTTTAAAAGGTCTTTGGGTTGAAGAAATAAGAAAAAAAAACTTAAAAAAAAAATTAAAATGCACCCAGCCGGTATCGAACTCACGACTCTTTGCTTGTAAGGGATACGTTATAAACACTACGTCAAGAGTTCCAACTTCCTGGTTGAACAAGACAGTAATCCGTACTAAATAGTTTTGAGAAATACGATTGGTGTATAATAAAATTGCAGATTTTCTGTAAAAACAAATTATTTCAATTTGTTTAATCTTTGAACAAATCGAGCTAATAATTGAAAGCCTAGGATACAATAGAACTGCCATGTCTATACTTTGTTTACAAATTTGCGACAAATGTCGCGTTCAGTTTGACAGATTATGTTGAAGTTATAGGTGATATTAGATATGCATAAGCGTATAATAGCTGCCCTTTTCCCGTTTCCCAATCTACAATGATGAAAAACATCAAAGTTCAGGTTAGCTAACTGGACCCTTCCAGCCCCTACGACCCTGCGGAAATCTGTCAAGGGGTACCCCCTAAGGCCCCCTACCCACCCCCAGTGTTAGTTTGTTCAGGAGGCCGACAATGAATAAAATATGAATGCTGGAAATATGCCCCACGCACTTGGCACCACTGGGTGGTGCCACTACAGCCCCATTCTGAAAGTGGCAAATGATAGCCCTAGGGCCCCTCTACATTGCCCCAATAATTATTTGATGAACACTTCAAGGATAAGGCGTATAATAGCTGCCCTTTTCCCGTTTCCCAATCTACAATGATGAAAAACATCAAAGTTCAGGTTAGCTAACTGGACCCTTCCAGCCCCTACGACCCTGCGGAAATCTGTCAAGGGGTACCCCCTAAGGCCCCCTACCCACCCCCAGTGTTAGTTTGTTCAGGAGGCCGACAATGAATAAAATATGAATGCTGGAAATATGCCCCACGCACTTGGCACCACTGGGTGGTGCCACTACAGCCCCATTCTGAAAGTGGCAAATGATAGCCCTAGGGCCCCTCTACATTGCCCCAATAATTATTTGATGAACACTTCAAGGATAAGGCGTATAATAGCTGCCCTTTTCCCGTTTCCCAATCTACAATGATGAAAAACATCAAAGTTCAGGTTAGCTAACTGGACCCTTCCAGCCCCTACGACCCTGCGGAAATCTGTCAAGGGGTACCCCCTAAGGCCCCCTACCCACCCCCAGTGTTAGTTTGTTCAGGAGGCCGACAATGAAGAAAATATGAATGCTGGAAATATGCCCCACGCACTTGGCACCACTGGGTGGTACCACTACAGCCCCATTCTGAAAGTGGCAAATGATAGCCCTAGGGCCCCTCTACATTGCCCCAATAATTATTTGATGAACACTTCAAGGATAAGGCGTATAATAGCTGCCCTTTTCCCGTTTCCCAATCTACAATGATGAAAAACATCAAAGTTCAGGTTAGCTAACTGGACCCTTCCAGCCCCTACGACCCTGCGGAAATCTGTCAAGGGGTACCCCCTAAGGCCCCCTACCCACCCCCAGTGTTAGTTTGTTCAGGAGGACGACAATGAATAAAATATGAATGCTGGAAATATGCCCCACGCACTTGGCACCACTGGGTGGTGCCACTACAGCCCCATTCTGAAAGTGGCAAATGATAGCCCTAGGGCCCCTCTACATTGCCCCAATAAATATTTGATGAACACTTCAAGGATAAGGCGTATAATAGCTGCCCTTTTCCCGTTTCCCAATCTACAATGATGAAAAACATCAAAGTTCAGGTTAGCTAACTGGACCCTTCCAGCCCCTACGACCCTGCGGAAATCTGTCAAGGGGTACCCCCTAAGGCCCCCTACCCACCCCCAGTGTTAGTTTGTTCAGGAGGCCGACAATGAAGAAAATATGAATGCTGGAAATATGCCCCACGCACTTGGCACCACTGGGTGGTGCCACTACAGCCCCATTCTGAAAGTGGCAAATGATAGCCCTAGGGCCCCTCTACATTGCCCCAATAATTATTTGCTGAACACTTCAAGGATAAGGCGTATAATAGCTGCCCTTTTCCCGTTTCCCAATCTACAATGATTAAAAACATCAAAGTTCAGGTTAGCTAACTGGACCCTTCCAGCCCCTACGACCCTGCGGAAATCTGTCAAGGGGTACCCCCTAAGGCCCCCTACCCACCCCCAGTGTTAGTTTGTTCAGGAGGCCAACAATGAATAAATATGAATGCTGGAAATATGCCCCACGCACTTGGCACCACTAGGTGGTGCCACTACAGCCCCATTCTGAAAGTGGCAAATGATAGCCCTAGGGCCCCTCTACCTTGCCCCATTAATCATTTGTGAACACTTCAAAGATTAGGCCTGTAATAGCTGATCTTTAATGGCGTTTTTGGGATAAAATGCAAAACAAGCAAAGTTCATAGTTGATAACTGGCCCATTCCAGTCCCTGGGACCTTTTGAAACGTTGACAAGGGATTCCCTCTAAGACCCTTAACTTAATGACCAATAATTGATGACGAATGATTGCTTGAAATATGACCCATGCACTTGGCACCACCTGGTGGTACCACTAAAGCCCCTTCTGATAGCAGGAAATAATAATCCTAGGGCCCTTCTATCTTGCCCTAGTAATGTTGATCACTTTATAAATCATGGGTATAATACCTGCCTGTAATATCAAAATTTGGAACCACTTAGTGGCACCACCACCACTTATTACTGATAGTGGTAATTTACAGTCTGATAGATTCATTAAGTTGTCCCAGTAATAATGTTCGAAACATACTTCAGCCTAGTTTACACTAATAATGTTCGAAACATACTTCAGCCTAGTTTACACTTGTGCTATATTTCTGTTTACAATCGTTATATATTAATCAAATTTCAGGTTAGCTTATTGGCCCTGTCATACTCTTGAGGTCCCTGAAGGAGTTGAAAAGGGATTCTTCCTGAAGGAGTTAACCATTTCCTAGTGCTTGTTTGTTCAATTGGATTAAAATTATAAAGTAATGTATTTCTTATTTTTCGGTTTTAAAAAAGAACAAAAATTGTTCAGGTGAGCCTTACTGCCTCTGAGTATCTGATTTATTATGTAATTAATTGTTGCATTAATTTTATAATCATTAACCATTAATTATCTAAAATAACCTATTAAAAACAGTACTGCGTCTGAGTACTCTCAGTTCTTTGATGAATTTCCTTATTGGCTGCTAGCTTCTACGCGCTTAATGGCTGCTGTTATTGGCTGCTAGCTTCAGCCTGGTTATTTCTTCTGCTCTTTCTGTTTATTGCACTTGTCAGTAGCCTTTCAACAGGTCAAATTTACTATCAAATTTTACGTTTCCAATGTTGTCAATATAGTCATTGTAACAGAATTTACCTTTCTAAAGTCTGTACATAATCGGCAGCTTCTGTCCGGCTTTGGTAGGCTCAGAATGTCACTGTCCAACATGTACTG